ATATATATTATTATTAAACTGATACTGTGTTTTTCTAATATGTTTATATTTCTAATACAGTTTAGACATATATATGTTTTACTTGTTTGTACATATGACTGATTTGTTTATTTTTTATATTCTTGTAATTAAAACAGATTTGTAATACAAAGTTATGAATGCTTTTTTTTTTACTTAGACCTTACAAAATGGTTTAAATAATTATTTTTGCATAAAGTTTTTTTTTTTTTTTTTTTTTAAAGACCATACTTGTGACAATATTTTATTGACTTTATATTGGGTTAGCTATTACAACTATTTTTATAGAGATGTGAGTATAGCTAGTTACATGTACAACTTTTGGTTGCCTATTTAAGTAGTCCACCTTAAGGTTCTATACTAGATGCTGTACCTATAACCTACTAGGAGATTATTCATTTAAACCCTCTGATCATCTGCCCTATCATATTAAAATCACCAACTTACCCCCATATATACCTAACCGGTATACCATCTAAGCAGTATGGTTATTTACTCTTTTTGTACTAGTTTCTAGGCTGTTACATATTTCAGAATATATTACTTGTCAGTAAAGCACAAAGGGCCTTTTGTTGTTAACTATTTACTCACTTTTAGAATACTAATATGGGCTATCCTTACAGAGTTCACTCATACTTCAGTACTGACTTTATAGCATATCTTTAGTACTTTTAGTATATCCCTGTTTTGAACTCAGACTTTTAATCCAAATAGCCTAGAAGGACTATGATCTATTCTTAGTATATTGAGGCCAGCTCAATATCCTTTTTCTCTAGTCTGAAATCTGGTGGCCTAGTTGGTGGTACCTCTCATCTGAGGTTCTTTCCTATCTGAATTCTTCACATTGGTATCCATTTTCTAGATCTAGTCTTTACAGTAGTATTGTCAAAGGTTTGTGTTATCTCTCTGCTCAGAATTTCCAAATAAGCTTTGGCTTTTCAGTTCTACAGATTTTTACAGCTTGAAGACTTATTTTAGATTTGCACTGCCCAGTACCAGTTTGCATTTCTCTGTATAACAGATTACACAGATGCCTCAAACCTGCCAATCATACTGATATAACCATAGTTACAGATATTCTATCGCAACTGATCAACAAAATGCTATTGCCATAATACTGTTTATATATTATATAGATGATTATTCAAATTTTACCATTGGTAGGTTTTGAACTCACAACCTACTACTTGGGAATATGACAACTTATCCACTTCACTAAGTCACTATACTTTACATAAACTTGGTTTTTCCTTTTTATTAAATTTGTGTTTAAAAGTAGGATGTAATATTTTAAAATTATATATAAACTTAATAATATATTTTTTTTATAATTTCAATTATAAAAATTTTTACCAATTAAATATTTTTTAAGCTTCTAAGTAAAGTTTTAGACTAGGTTCTTGTAATTTTAATAGTAGTAAAATTATTAAAATTGGCATAAAATTCATCAATATATAAATTTTTAAAGATTAGATATAAAAATTTACTATTAAAATTCTTTTATGATTTTTAGAAATTAACCAATTAAAGTTAACTTTTTTGTGTAATTCTAGAAAAAACATAGAGCTTTTCAGAAAAATTCATGATATATACAAATAGAATTTTTTTAAATTAAACTTCTTATAAAATTTTAACATAATAAACAACTTATTTAAACCTATATATTATTAAATTTTGATAAAAATTAATTAAAAAATAAAAAAGTTTTATTAGTAATACATTTTTAATTTACTATATAAAAATCTATTATACCATCTAGATTATATAAAAAATAATTTATATACATTTTACCCTTAAGTGATTAGTATAAACAGATTATTATTTTTTTTTTTTAAATATTAAAATAAGTACTTATGACTTAGAATTTTATTAATAGTATATTTGGCTAATAGATACTTTACAATCACAGAGAGCAATTATAAAAAGAGTGTACAACTAGTTACTTATATAACTTTAGTTATTGTTTAATTTAAATAGTTTACTTAAAGGTTTTATATTAACTGCTATACTTGAAATCTGCTTGTAACTTCTTTATTTAACTACTCTAGTTTTTATATTCATCTACTTACCTTTGCCTACTAATGATCTTGGTTGATGCTGATGAAAATATGCCATGATTACTAAGTCTTTAAAGCAGTTTACTTATATAAAGAACTTTTGACCTTGTACTAAACCTTTCAGAATCTTCTGTATCTTATTCTTACAGCTAATCCAGTATTACTATAGCCAAAATCAATACTAATAGTTAGAGCATATCATTAAACTACTATGTTCTTGTAGAGTTCATCCCAACTCTAATACTGACTTTACAATATATCCTTACTACTTTGGTATTCAATTCAAGTTCTACCAAGCTGCCAACTCAGATAGTCTGAAAAAGCAGATTATAACTATATACCTCTAATTTACATATTTGTTAGCATATAATCTTTTCTTCCAAAATCTGAAAATTTTGGTAGCCTAGTTGGTTCATCTGGTTCCTTCTCAAAGATCAGCACATTTGCCTAGTTTTACAAGTTCTAGTTCTGTTTTATAGGTCTAGTCTTTATAGTAGCACCATTGAAAGTTCAGGTTATATTTCTATTTAAGTCTTCTAAGTAGACTTTTGTTTTTCTTCATTTGGTTTTTATGAGTTACATAATCACAAAGACTTATTGTAGGTTTGTACTACTTAGTACTAGTTTGTATTTCTTTGTATAACCACAGACCTTGTTTTAAAGAACAATGTCACATAATTGTTACACAAATACCATGTGACCTGTCAGTTATGCTAGTATAATACAAGTAACAGGTATCTTATTTCAACCAATTGCAAGAGACAGTTAACCATAACACAAAAAGGATTTTTAAATTTTCTGTTAATACTAAAATTTGAACTCTGGACTTGTCACTTGGATGTTGACAACCTGACCACTTTACTAAATTGCCATGTCTTGTAAAAAGTGATTATAATATATAGTTTGTATTGAAAAACAAAAAAAAGATATGTTAATAAAAGTTATCTTTTATATAAACTATAATATTGTATTAAAAATTATAAGTTTAAAATTAATATTTAAAAAGTTTATTAAAAATTAGTAAATATTTTTTTTAGTTAATTTTTTTTTAAATTTGTCTATTTGCAGCTTATAAGTAACTTAAATTTTTTTTTTTAACTTTAACAGTTATATTAGTACTTTATTAGAATTCTTGAAACTATACAAATTATATAGAATTTTTTAATATACAAGTTTAGCATTACTTGGCTATCTATATGATACCTAAGTGTAACCTGTTGTACTATTCTAGTTAGAGATAAACTGCTAGTCTAACTGCTATTTTACAATAGAACATTACTAATCTTTTTGTAAAGAAGCAAAAAACAAAAAAAAATTTTTTTATATAAAAAACAAAATAGAAGTAGAAGTAAATAATAAAAGATACAGATTATGAAATGAAAAAAAAAGATAAATAAGAAAAAAGAGAATGTATAAAACTTGCAATTTATAAATATTAGATAGTTACAATTATAAACATATATCAGGCTTCTTAAAAATTATAAACTATACTAAATAGAAATAACTCTACTATTTTTCTATTTATTTAAGGATTATATAAAATAGCACATATGCGCTATAGCACTTTACCCTTTAACTAATGAAATTCAAGAATATATTACATGATATTCAAGCATTCAAATTAATCAAACCATGTGTAACATTGAAACAAATATATATAATATCTACTTTTGGAATCGTCTAAAGCATAGCAGAATCACATGATGACTAACTAATAATATTACAAAATTTTGATGATCTTCGATGAAGCAAATAAAGAAAAAAAGTAAAAAATCTGCAAAATACAAAAAATGGCAGTCTAAATATGCCTTGGATAGGTTAAGTAAAAATGTCAGGAAGGCAATTTTGCATATATATAACTACTTATAACTCTAACCTAAGTTGATCCTAACTCTAAAGTTAATTCGATAAAATATATTTTAGAATCTGCTGTCCCTTACTTCTGCATTCTAATTAAGTATTACTTAAACTTAGCATTCTAATTAAATGACATGGAGGCATCATTAATCTATTCCAAATACTATAAAATTTTTTCAATATGGATACTTTATGTAACATATATATGCTGACATACATATATATACTAAATTTAGTGAAAGAGCTAATCAAATGTGCATATATATATGCATACATGTATGCACGTACATATATACATACATGTATATCTACTTAAATAATGTATATATGTACTAGATAATGTTGCTAATATACATATTACCCTCAACTTAAGTGTTGGTTCTAGCATCACTAATAATTAATACTACATTATTTTTCATATATATATTATTTATTAGACTTATATATAGGCCAGCAATTTACATGCTTAGATACAAAAATAGTTGACTTTATCAAAATCCGATTGCCTTAATAGATACTAATTTAACTCTAATTTTTTTTCGATTTATATAAAACAAGATACTGTCATATACAGAGTTGTGGTTACCAAGGTGCGATATATATATGTATATAAGTTACTCAGTAGTTATCATGAAAATTAATACACTATTGATTAAAACTAAAAAGATTCAGACAAACTTACTAGTAACTGACTAGTAACTTACTAATATTAGATTAACAAAATAAAAAAAATAAAGCATATGAAACAAACTTTCTTAAAAGCACTAATAAAACTATTAAGACAGTTTTAATACTCTAACTCAAAATTAATCCAACAGCACCAAATTGTAGATATTGAATTTTAACTCAATTATTAGGCTAGCATTTTAAATCACTTCAGTTTTACAATTATAATCTCAATTTGCACTATTGAACAAGCAATTCATATACCAACTATCTCACTAATAAAATTATGTTTTGCAGTTTTTTTGGTAATAACTGATCTCATCATATTTCTTATAATAACTTAGCTGTTTTTTGGTACTTCTTTTTTTCACACACCGATTTGAAGTGTTTAGTGCCTGCCAGTCAGCCTTTTCTATGCCTTTTTTTAGGATTCTGTAATACAAAATCTCTATTTTCTTTATCACTATTGGTTATGTCTTCTGATGAGCTTTCAGATGATTCATCAACACTTTCTGTAAATTCTTTTAACAGATCGATAAGTCGTTGTGAATTTGATCGACTTATTAAGGCTTTGTTAAGAGCCTTCTTATAAGTACTATGTAGCTCTTCATAAATCTTTCTTTGTTGAAGTATAGTAAGACTCTTTTCAAGAAAATCTTGGTTATCCTGATTAAATACACATAGATAAGAGATAGGAAAAGTGGTTTCTTCTGTTAATATTTTCTTATAAAATTTATTTACTTTTAAAAAAGGTTCTTTAGACACATCAGCATTATTATAATACCAATAAGAAGGAATTAGCCGAATATGAAATTTAGCATTGTCTGTTGTAAGCATTATTCAAAAATAATGTCTACAAATAATACCCTGTTAGACAGTTATTAAGCATGAATATACATGAGACTGATTGTTTAATAATTATACATAATGTTTTGTAGTAACAGAATTACTAACATTTACATACCATACTTCAATTACATTGTTCAATCCTCCTACTAAATGAATAAGTTCTTTTAGCAATATTTGTTATATGTTTGCTACTGATGCATCAGGTATTTCTATTTTTTGATTGTCACTACAAAGCCTCTATAATTATAAAAAAGTTATTAAATAATTCATAAAATGAGTAATACTAAGGGAAAAGGCACTTCAATTATATAAAGTTTATATAATTGGAATGCCTTTTCTCTTAGTATCACTTAAATAATAAATAAACTAAAAAAAATTACTTTGATATCATCATCCAGAAGTTTACTAACTTTATAATAAACAGACTGGTTAATTTCGTCACATTGTTTTTGTAACATAATAGGCATAAGAATATTTTCTAAATATATATTGATTTTTTTAAAAGAAAATTTGTTTTGTCTTGACTTCTAATGCAAGGAACAGATAATTTCCAAAAGT